GCCCCCGGGCTGCAGGTTAATGGAGGCCCCCGGGTGCAGGTTTTTTGTGAGGCCCCGGGCTCGGGTACTGTTGGCCCCCCGGGCTGTAGGGACTTTAGGCCCCCGGGTGCAGGTCTGTAGGCCCCCCGGCGAGGGACTGTGAGGCCCCTGGGCTGAAGTACTGTGAGGCCCCCGGGTGCAAGTCTATGTGGCCCCCCAAAATGCAGGTACTTTAGGCCCCTGGGCTGCAGGTACTGTGAGGCCCCCGGGACAATTTTTGAGGCCCCCAGGCGGCAGGGATGTGAGGCCCCCGGGGTGCAAGTACTATGAGGCCCCCAGGCGCAGGTATGTTAGGCCCCCGGCTGCAGGTACTGTGACGCCCCCAGGCTGCGGTACTGTGAGGCCCCGGCGCGGATTTTGAGGCCCCCGGGCTGCAGGTACGTGACGCCGCCGGCTGAGGTACTGTGACCCCCCGGGCGAGGTACTGTATGCCCCCAGACTGCAAGAAAAAGGGCCCCAGGGTGAGGTACGTGATCCCCCGGGCTGCGGACTGTGAGGCCCCCAGGCTGCAATAATGAGGCCCCGGGCTGCAAAAAATTTTAGGCCTCCCGGGCAGGTATGTGAGGCCCCGGGTTGCAGGTTTCTGTGCGCCCCCGGTCTGCAAGTACTCCAGTATGGGCTAACATACACAGTGTACAGAGGTCTCGAACGATTCCTTATTAAGGGTATCGGGAACGCCTATTCTCAGTTTGCCAGGCGCCCGTATGCTTGCAGCGGTTCATTTGGTTGATGTGTGCCTCCGGTGCTGTGCTTCGGTGGTTTTTTGGTCAACCCAAGGTCTTTCTCTGAGCGAGGTCGGTAAGTCTTTGTCCACCAAGCCTATACTCTGTCTGCGGTCTTCTGTGCCCCTCACCAATCTTCAGACTTTGCATTGGCTGGATGAATTCGAGGAAGCCTGTTTTACTGGGACCACATGTCCAGCCTGTTCCAGGTCTCTTTGCAGTCCTGCCTCATCCTCTTCCGATTTTAATTCTTCTTATTCAATTTCACATCATCGCGAACAGGGGACACTTCAGATCTATTCCACTTTCCATCAAGTCGGTCACATATATCAAAATAGCACTAGTCCTGAAACTGAACCCCTGTGGGACCCGTCGTCACAGGCGGCCCACTGTGATTACCGCTTCACGTACCAATGGACTCGTTGCTGCCCCTCCACTGTCAGGTATTCCCTGATCCATTGCAGTGCCCTCCCTGTTACATGCGCCTGATCCTCCAGCTTCTCACTAATCTCTTATGGGGACTGTGTCAAAGGCCTTCCTGCCAGTCTAGAGAAAACGGCAGTCTACCCACCCCTCTCTTGTGTCTTACTTCTGTTACCTTGTCATAAAAAACTCCAGGTGGTTTTGTGTGATTACACGATTTGCCTTCCATGAACCCATGCTGGTTTATTTATAATCTTGTTCCTTATCCGGTGTTCGACCCACTCTCCTCCTGATATTCTTCTCCATGACTTTACACACAATACATTCAGACACAGGTATGTAGTTTAGCGCCTCGTATTTCTGTTTCCTTTTCTTAAATATGGGGGACTACATTAGCTGTCTTACATTTCTCAGGGGTAGTTGCCCAGTTTCTTAGGGGGAAATGGTTGAAGATTGTGGTTAGAGGCACGCCACAGCATCTCTGCTCCTTCTCTAAGGACCCATGGGGAGATGTTGTCGGGTCCCAATCGCCTTTGAAGGTGTCAAGGTCACTTAGGAGCTTCTTCACCTCCTCTCGGTTGTTCGTAGGCACCAACACTTGTTAGGTATATTCCCTCTTGATGTTCCCTTCCCTCCACAGCCCTTCCTGTCCTCTACTGTAAAAACTTCCTTAAATCTCCTGTTCAGCTCCTCAACATACCTCCTGATCATTTCTTGTGAGTTCTCCCACCTTCTGATCCTTAATTGATCACCTGGTCTTTGACTGTTGTCTTCCTCCTGATGTGGGCTATACAACAGTTTCGGGTCCTCTTGATTCTCCGAATTCTATATCATTTTATACTGTCGCTGGGCCTCCCTCCTTACCCGTGATTTTTCATTCCCAGGCTTGCGGACTGATCTCCCTATTTTGTGTGTTCTCTGCCTTCTCTGTACTTTTTCCATTTCTCTATTGCACTTTGTTTTTGCCTCCTTACACCGTCGGGTAAACCAGGGGCTCGTTCCGGTCATTCCCGTGTTACTGTTGCCCTTGGGAATAAACCTTTCCACTGCCTCCTTGCATTTTGTTGTTACATATTCATCATTTCATTTATGGTTTTCCTGCAGTCTCTGTCCCAATGGACCTCCAGCCAGGAAGTTCTTCACCCTATGTATATCCCCTCTTTTACCATTCAGGCTTTTCCCATTCACACCGGTTAATCTCTCCACTTGCAGCTTCTACTCATGTATCAAACGCACAGAACCACGTGGTCGCTAGCTCCTAGGGACTCTCATACTTTGATGTAATCAATGTCTGAGCTGCCAGGGTGAATCAAGGTCCCAATCTTGCTGGTTCATCCTCCCCTCTCACTCTGGTATTATCCTTAAACATGTTGGTGCATGAGGTGGTTTTTTTTTCCAGCACCACGTCCAACTCCTGGCTCTCCATGTTTTCTGGGACCCCCATGTGGGCTTCCAGGTTTTCCCCGTCAATCTCCCTGTGGTTGAAATCCCCCCATTAACCAGCAACTTTGCTCTGTGGAGTGAGTTCTTTCTTGCCCCTCAGCCAAGTGTGGTCCACCATGCTCTGTTGCTTCTTCATATTTCCTCTCTTGGCCTCCTGCATTTCTGTGTTGGTACTTATACATCACTGCATGAACACTTTGTGTCCCCAGAAAAGTGTACCTACTTGTAGTTCTCTTTCTCCCGTTCAATCTATGCCTTCCATTTTCTCGAATTTCCATCTGTTTTTTACGAGCAGAAGCAACCCAGGCCTCCCCCTCTGCCCATTCTGTCTTTCCTCATGATCTGGTATCTGGTGGGAAGATTGATCTGTTAAATTGTCTCCGTGAGTTTTGTTTACTGTAACGGCTATGATGTTGGGGGACTTCTCATTGATTCTTTCTTGCCATTCCTCATGTTTATCATTTATCCATCTGCATTGGGTGTTACCAAACCTTCAACTTCTGTTCTAATAACTGTAACTGTGGTGCGGGGGGTGGGAACAGAGGGATCGGTGTTGCGAATGGTTGGTTTGGATGTTCAGTTGCCATGGGAGAAGTGTCGTTGGTGGAGGACTACTGTACAGGTGTTTCTGGGGGGGTGCTTGTCCTTCCGTTGATTCCTGGGTTATTCTGCTCTCCTTTTTCATTTCCTCCCATTTCTCCTTTCGTTTTGAACTCTCTCTTTCATTGTCTTCCTTATCGTCCTGTGTTCTGTCTCGATTGAGGTACCACACTCCGGAACTCCTGCTTGCCTTCAGCCGTGCTATCTCTGCAGGTCATGGTTCGGGTTGATTCTGCTTGAATATTACTTTGAGAGGCCGATTCCTTCTTCTTTTGTGATCACCCGATTCTCCGAAAATTTGCCACCTGGGTTTATGTCCCCCTCGCCTATCAATCTTCATGATGTTCTTAAATCACTTTTTTCTCTCCTGCTTTCTTTCATCATAAGTTTCCCCTTTAGCTTCGTCTCCGCCATAGACAAACCGGATCTCTCTTGCCACCTCCCCACTGTGACTCCCATTGCATCCTCTGATGTGTTTTATTCCTTCCCGTGGAGTGTTCCCTTCTTTCGTCCCTTCCCTAGTTATGGACCCCTATGCTTCTTGGTTTGTCCTTCTGCTCACCTGTTCCTGGCCACCACAGGTATCTCGGTATAGGTCCTGCACTGTCCTAGTTCCTTTAATGTCTTCCAACCTCTCATTCTGTCCTAGTGTGGTCCCGTGTCTTTGTTTTGGCCCCATGTGGGTTTGACAGGATTTCTGCATACAGTTTTAGTTTCCATGCTCCTTTCAACCTGTTGTCCTGTGTACAGATGTAGCCATTGCCCGATTGCTACTTTCTGTAAATATCTTTTGTCTCTATGCTGTTTCCAGATGTCTCAGCTCCTCTTCTAATGTCTCTATCTGATTTCTGCTGCTGTGGCCCTGTTGCTTCCACCTTCTCGCTTTCTGCTGCTAACCTCTCTTCCATTTCTTTTCCAGCTCATCTAGTCTCCTTCCCCAGTCTTCCTCCTTTTTTTTGTAGCTCTGCCTCCCAGTTCCTCCCTCCCAGATTCGTCCTTGGCGCCCCTTGTCCCTCTTCCTGGTTCTAGTTCCCCCGTTGCTCCTCAGAAGGGGGGGACGGGTGGTAGGGGGATGGGAAATAGTGGTTAGGAGGAGAGGGGATGGATGGTCATGTGGAGGGGGAGGTTGGTTATTGGAGGGGTAGAGATAGTTGGGGGAAGGAGTTAGATGGTTTGGGGTGGGGGTAGGTGGCTTAGGGTTAGGTGGTTGGGAAAAGGGGGAGAGATGGTTAGGGGAGGGGGGGAGTTACGTGTTTGAGAGAGAGTAGGGGATGGATGGTTATGGGGAGGGCGGGGGAGGATGGTTGTTGGAGAGCGAGGAGGGAGAGTAGTTGGGGGCTAGATGGTTTCGGGCGGGGTTAGGTGTTTTGGGGGTGGGAAGGAGGCTAAAGGTGAGGTGGTTAGGGAAAGGGGGATAGGTGCTGTAGGGGAGGCGGGAGGGGTACGTGTTTGTGCAAGTGTTTGATGTCAAGTGGTGGTGGTGTGTGTGTGTGTGTGTGTGTGTGTTGGTCTGTGTGTGTGTGTGTGTGTGTTGTGTATGTGTGTGTGTGCGTGTGTGTGTGTGAGTGTGTGTTGTGTGTGTGTGTGTCGTATTCGCCTAGTTAGTTACCATATTGTCCTAGTGCAGGTGTGTGTATGTGTGTATAGTGTGTGTCGTGTGTATGGGGGAGGTGTGAGGGGGGAGATTACTGTTAACACATACCAGTTAGTAATTCTGGGTTATAAAAAGCGGAACTTTTCTACTAGGGTCTAGAGCTTCTTATGAGTGTCTACCTTGTGTGTGTGTGCTTGTGTGTGTGTGCTTGTGTGTGTGTGCTTGTGTGTGTGTGTTGTGTGTGTGTGCTTGTGTGTGTGTGCTTGTGTGTAGTTGTGTTTGTGTGATGTGTGCTTGTGTGTGTGGTGCTTGTGTGATGTGTGCTTGTGTGTGTTCGTGCTTGATGTGTTGTGTGTTGTGTGTGTGTGTGAGGAGGGATGGTTAGGGATGAGGTAGGTGGGTGTGTGGTGGCAACTGTGAGGATCCAAGACATAACTGCGGAGGAAGGAAGAAGGATAGGAGGAAGAGGGAAGATTAAATGGGAAGTAGGGAGGGAGAGGAGTGAGAATGAAAGAGGGGACGGAGGGAGAAGAGAGGGAGAGAGGGGAAGATAGGGATATTAGGTAGGAAGACAGAGGGGGAAATGGAACATGGAAGGGAGAGACTATAGAAAGAGAGAGATGGGAAGGATGGTAAGGGGAGCGATTGGGAAAATAAAGGGGTTTGAAGAGATGGAAGATGAGGGAGAGAGAGAGATAGAGAGAGAGAGGATCAGGATACCAGCATCGAGTTAGAATATGTTTCCTGTTTCCGTTTGAGTGATCAGGCCCGTTATTACTCCGTGGATACTCCTGTTGCGGACACTTCAAACTAGGTTTATCCTCTGATTTCGCCTGTTTTTACTGTCGTGAAATTCTAATAAAATATCTCCTTTTCGTTAGTTGATTCTCTTATTGAGTGACTCAAAACTCCCGTTTATACGCTAGTCACCAGTTTGAGTGACACAAGCTCCTGTTCCCCCGTGATTCAAACCGTTGCGAGGTTCAGACTCCCGTTTTCTCCGTTTGCCCGTTAAATCTCACATCCTGGGATCAAATCTAAAGGTTCTACCGGTTCTATTTTCAGCGCCCTTTTTCTCCAGAACCTTCGTTTCTATTTAAAGTACGGTAGACCAATTCGCTCCCTCCCCTCCCCCCCCCCCACCTTGGAATACGAAAGGGTTATAAAAAAAATATTAGATTATTGCAACGAACGAAACATTACGACACGTGGGCACATATGGAAAGTAAGTTATCGACTAAGGTGGCAAGTCCGAGAGGGGAACATCCGTATCTGTCGTAACTCTGGGCCTTGTGGCACGGGGTGGTAAAGGCGATAGTCCAACCGTGCTGAACTGATGTATATTTCTCCCTGCCTCCTGCCGTGGTTATTAAAAGGGGTAATGGAAAATACAAGAAGAGGGAATTTTTCCAAAGGACAGCGTGAGGAGAGGGTGAGGGCAGCAGGATGAGGGTGTGAGGGAGAGGATGAGGGTAGATGAGGGAGAGGTGAGGGTGAGGGAGGGATGAGGGTGAGGAGAGGATGAGGGTGAGGAGGGAGAAAGAAAAGGAAAATGACGGGAAATGGGTTGAGGACTGAGAGTGAAGGTGGGGTTTTGCTTGATGGTTGTGGGAAGGTATTAGAGTGAGTGGTGAGGGAGAGGGTAAGGGAGAGGGTGAGGGGGAGGGGGAGGGTGCGGGTTGTAGGAGACGGGTGAGGGAGAGGGTGGGAGAGGGTAGAGAGGTAAGGAGACCAGCAAGGGAAAGGAAAAGATTGAGATTTAGAGCGTGAGATATAAAGTGAGAGGGAGAGTCTAAAGTCACCATTCCAGTGAAAGATCTGCAAAGGTGTGATGACTTTGTGCCACCACTGAGATGAATAGTAATTACTGGTATAAACTTCCTCGATCACCCGCCACTGAAACAAACTTAGTTTTCAGATTCATTTAGCAATCACTCATTTTGTAGTTATTCAGCATCTGGAAAATTGCAATGAAATTTGAGTTCAAGGATAGGCGACTGTAAATGTTAATCTGGAAAATTAAGATCCTACATTGATATCAAGGACACCTCACCATTTTCTCAAGGTTCAGCCTGATTTTGCATTCGTGAAGCGGGTGTAAAACACGTGTGGGTTATTCAGCGCAGTAGTGGGAGAAGGGGGAGACAGGGGTGATAGACTCAACTCCGTCTACTGATTGACGGTTCGCGGTTATCCGGAGTTGTCATGGCCGGCTGAAAGACACACTCTTCTACGGTATGAGATGTCGGAGGTTCGACCTTCGCATTTCACAACACTTACACTCCTTTTTTAGTATTGTATTTTGATCCTACCAATTCACATAAAATACCACACCTGTGACGTAATGCAAAAAAATTCGAAAATATGAAAGATAATATTTACGTTTTCGTGTTCATTGTAAAATTGAATTTTCAAAATGCTTCTATTGACCATTATAAACAAAACGACCGTCTTCAAAACAGAAGAAAACACACACACCGAGGTATTCTTGTCCAGAACCTGAGAATTTTGAAGAAGTTGAAATTGAATTTTTACGGTTTACATATATATATATGTATATAATATATTATAGATATATATATATATATATATATATATATATATATATATAATATATATATATATTTATATATATATATATATATCATATATATATATTTTTATATATATATATACACTATATATATATATATTATATATATATATATATTATTATATATATATATATTCTATATATATTATATGAAAAATTTACCCATGAGACATCTTGGGCATTTTTATTGAGGAAACGTTTCGCCACACAGTGGCTTCATCGTCCATACGTAGGAGAAACTTGAAGAAACAGGAGGAGGAATGAGGTAATCAGTCCCAAACTTGGAGTCGTATGTGTTCAGTCCAGCAATCTTGAATAATAGAATACGGCCATACGTGCTGAGAACGTGCTTATAAACCCGGATGGCAGGAGAGGTGCAGCAGTCTTAGGTGGTTTTGTCACATTTGTTCAATGTGGAAGTAGGTCGGCCCAAGAATTAGGCAAGCGAAGAATTCCTAAGTATTAAGATCCCAAGAAGTCTTGCAGTGTCTGACAGAATTTGTGATGAATGGTTCAGAGAACCGACATGTTGATAAATTAGACACATGTGCAACTCTTGGCCATCGTTATGAGGAAACGTTTCGCCACACAGTGTCTAATTTATAAAAACATCCACTCCCCCTGTCGGTTCTTCTGAACCATCATCTACAAATATATATATAGATTAGACTATATATATATTATATCATAATATATATATATATATATATATAATATATTATATATATTATATATAATATATATATATTTTTTATTTATTAACAAATGGCCGATTCCCACCAAGGCAGGGGGCCCGGGAAAAACAAAAACTTTTCACACTCATTCACTCATCACTGTCTTGCCAAGAAGGGTGCTTTACACTACAGTTTTTAAAACTGCAAACATTTAACACCCCTCCTTCAGAGTGCAGGGCACTGTACTTCCCATCTCCAGGACTCAAGTCCGGCCTGCCGGTTTCCCTGAATCCCTTCATAAATGTTACTTTGCCCACACTCCAACAGCACGTCGAGTATTAAAAACCATTTGTCTCCATTCACTCTATCTAACACGCTCACGCAAGCCTGCTGGAAGTTTCAAACCCCTCGCACACAAAACCTCTTTACTCCCTCCCTCCAACCTTTCCTATGCCGACCCGTACCCCGCTTCCTTTCCACTACAGACTGATACGCTCTTGAAGTCATTCTGTTTGCTCATTCTCTCTACATGTCCCGAAACCACCTCAAAAACCCTTCCTCAGCCCTCTGGACAACAGTTTTGGTAATCCCGCACATCTCCTAACTTCCAAACTTACGAATTTCTCTGCATTATATTCACACCACACATTGACTTCAGACATGACATCTCCCTGCCTCAGCCTTCTCCTCACTGAAACATTCATCAACCCATGCTTCACACCCATATATGAGCGTTGTTCAAAAACTATACTCTCATTACATTCCTCTTTGCCTACTAGGACAAAGTTATTTGGTTCTCCACAGACTCCTAAGTGGCCCACCGCTCACCCTTTCCCCTCATCAATTCTATGATTCACCTCAGTCTTTCTATAGACCCATCCGCTGGACACGTCACTCCCAAATATCTGATTACATTCACCTCCTCCATACTCTCTCCCTCCAATCTGATATCCAATCTTTCATCACCTAATCTTTTTGTTATCCCTCATAACCATACTCTTTCCTGTAATTCACTTTTAATTTTCTTCTTTTGCATTACCCTACCAAATTCATCCACCAACCTCTGCAAACTTCCTCAGAATCTCCCAAGAGCACAGTTCATCAGCAATGAGCAACTGTGACAACTCCCACTTCATGTGTGTTTCTTTATCTTTTAACTCACGCCTCTTGCCAAGACCCTCGCATTTTACTTCTCTTTACATCCCATCTATAAATATTTAAACAACCACGGTGACATCACACATCCCTTGTCTAAGGCCTCTTTTACTGCGGAAATAATTTCCCTCTTTCCTACATACTCTAGATTGAGCCTCACTATCTCGAAAAACTTTCACTGACTTTTCAGTAACCTATCTCTACACCATACCTCCTGCAACATTACTGCCACATTGCCCCCCCTATCCACCCTGTCATACGCCTTTCCAAATCCATAAATGATCATATATATATATATATAATATATATATATATATATTTATTTTTTATATATATATATTATATTTATATATATATACTTTATATATACTATATATTATAGGGAAGTACCACCCTCTATATATTTATATATATATATTATATATATTTACTATATATATATAATATATATATATATATATATATTTTATATATATATATATATATATATATATTATAACATTACATATGTTGGTGTGTGTGTGTGTGTGTGTGTGTTTGTGTGTGTGTGTAACTATTATGACAAACGGATGCTCAAAATATCACAGAATATTTCTTGAAATGAAAACTAATTCGTTTTGAGGAACGAAAATTTTAATCTTCAATTAAATCCTGTCTGTACAACAGAATCGGATTAAGATTTTGTAGGACCCTTGGATTACGGTATGTGAGGCCCCTGGGGTGCCAGGTATGTGAGGCCCCTAGGCCGCAGGTTACTGGAGGCCACTGGGTTCTGCAGTACTGTGAGGCCACTGGGTTACTGGTATTGTGA